TTTATTTATGCATCTGCGCTTTCGAACTCGTAGAGGAGTTCATCAGCAAAGATAAAAGCGGCAAAAAAACAACCGTATTGCATCTCTTGTCTAAACTGTCCTTGTAACTATACAGGTAAGACTGGAGGCGTGCCTGGCTCACGTTTATATTAGAATAAACTGGGTTTAGCACGGGAGGAGGGATTATCCCAGGTGGCCGCTCAAACCTACAGAAATGGTCAGGAAATTAACTTCGCCGTGGTCAAGACTATGGTCCACGCTATGAATGAGAAAAAACGCGAAGTGATTGTAGCCTGAGCCTCAGTCAATCGATGTAGCGATCTAGCGTCGACATCCGGGGCACTGCGAGGTAACCTCGAGACTGGCGTTACTGATACTTGATTGGCTTCCAACCCTATAAATGTTCATTTCTTTGGTGCTACATTTATCTCTGACAATAGAGGCATTTACGAGTTTAATAGCCCAGATGAATCGAAAAAGTTATTCCGGCGATCGAACAGGCGTTTTATACTCTTGTTATGTACACATCTGTAATTCTCAAATACACCTTTAACGCTTGAGGCTTTTAGAAAGCTACAGTCACCATTTCATTACCTCAAAAAATGGTCTGCTTGCCCCCCCTCTTCTCTGACTGTAGAGTTCGGAATTGTATCCTTCTAAACTTCGAACTCAACTTGTACACCCTAAGGATAGGGTTGACTATTTGGGCAGAAAAGAAGTCGTTCAAAAGATCCGCTGTGGCAATTAAAATGCATTTATTTCTGGTTAGATGGGAAAATTTGTCTCACTGCGTTTACATGAACAACAATTGGCAATGCCACTTGGCCCAAGTCGTCATGCACACACTAGAAATTGGATAAAACTTTGCGTGGGAATAAACTAACATTGTTGGCTCCTGTCTATTTAAGAAAGGCCGTTAATTTTAAGAGGCCATTTACTCGTGCATTCATCGGCACATTGAATTAGATTCTATCTACAACAATCTCATGGAAGTGTGGAACAGACGACAGCCACCGGATGCGAACAGCAGAGACTACTATTAGTCAAAATGACTAAGCATCATTGATTTGTTGCAGGCAGGTTTGAAATCGTAACCATTTTTACAATCACTACACGTCTGACGACGACCTGGTGAGCCAGTGTCGAAAATTTACATAATATAGTTTGTCGTCTTTTCCCAAAGAACTTTTTCCATCAAATTCATACCCTATTCAATTTTGTAACCATTTTCTTCAGGCTTATATTTCCTGCCTTTCAGGATGCGCTGCGGCTTTCTCTAACGCATTTTCACCGCGCTAGTCCCATGTACACTGAGTTACTAATACATTCGGCCCGGTCGGTGATTTTTTAAATCGAAACCAACCTTCCATCGCGGGATCGAGTCTAATCTTATGCATCAAACTTTGTTTTTTTTCTGGAAAATTGACAATATCCAGCAATTTCAGCCTCTTTTGCTACGCTCGGCTAACGCAGTGATATAATACCTGGATGACTTTACTTCAAATTTCCTTTTCTTTCCCGCTGTCCAGAGACAACCATTTTCTTTCTTTTTTGTGCCCTAGACCCACCGATTGAGTGTCTCCCACTTACCCCCTACCAGAAGTCAGATCTCCGTCGCTTTTGGAGAAGCAACTTCAGAGATAATGTCGTAATAATTGTAAGTTTTAAATTTACGAAATTCCCCTTTGTAAATATCAGAAGATAACTTGACGAGCATACGTTAGCTGTAGATGGTAATTAAATAAATAAAATATGCCGGTTGGTGGAAAGATGTAGTGTTTTTGTTGTCAGGGTCGGCAGGGGGGGATGGGGGTAAATAAGGTCAAAATGTCAGTATCTAGGCGAACCGGCGGCCAAGACAGGTGATAGGATGTGCGCGGTTGAATTGGGGACTTGTCCGTCTCTGGGGGCACCCGTTTCCGAGGCCAGTGATGATCTCTATGTGGTCGTGTTA